GGGATGGTGCGTGGATCGGGGAGGGTGCATGGGGGTGTGCGAGCGGCCGGTGCAGTGTGAGCACAGAGGGGCTGGGGAGAATGTGCAAGTGGGGGAGACTTACCCCAGCAACTTTGGACCTTCCCTGCCGGCTCCCCCATTGATTTTCTGAGGAAGCTGGCAGGGAAGGTTGCAAATGGCAATCGCACGATTGTGGGCTGCTTGGCAACTAGCCGTAAGTGTGTCCCATTCTTGCGAGACCAGAAGGTTTCCGAAGGATCGCGACAATGGGATGCCGGCTTTAGGGAAAGAGTGAGAGGCGTGGCTTGCAGAAGGTACGGGACGCACAGCTTCGGGAAGGAACGGGACGGCTTTAGGGAAGGAACAGGAGGCGCGGCTTGGGGAACGGGACGAGGCAGCAAAGGCCAGTGGGGTGGGGCTGGAGGTGGCATTTCTCGGTGACGGTGCTGAGACTGAAGTCGAGGACTGGGGGTAGTGGCAGCTGGCTGAGGCTGCTGAAGGCCTCGGGCCTCTTACTTCAGCCCAGCCCTGGTGCTGCTGCTGCCAAGTGCTGCTGTGTGGCGCGGCCAAAAAGGCATAGATGTGGGGTAGACAGACGGGTGGGGGAGTTGCAGCACCCCTGCAGTCGTAAGTGCTGGTGGGCTGCCAAAAGCCCGAATTTTGATCACGTGACTGCAGGGATGCTGCAATGGCCGTATCTTCGGGCACAATTGTAAATCCATTTTTTTAACGCTGTTGAAATTTCAAACAGTCACTGAACGAATGGCCGTTTAGCGAGGACTATCTGTAAGAGTTGTCTCATAAACCCACAAGGAACTGCTTCTGGATTGTCTCCAAAATGTTTTGCAATTTCATCTTCTCCAGGGCTCCCTGGAGCATCTCCCACACTTGCTCTTTCCCATGCACGTTCTTGAGCTGAATGAGGTGGGTGTGAAGGTCCACCTGGAGCTCTTCTCTAGTCTTCTGCTTGTCCCTCCCAGCAGGATTTTTACCAAGCTTACGGTGCAGGCGCCGCAGCCGTCGTACGGACTTGAGGTGAAATGGTACAAAGTCAATTGCAGCTTCTTGACAGTCTCCGCTTCCTAGAGAAGAAAGATTGGGTGAAAAACCATCAGAACCAAATAAGGGGTGCTGTGCATAAGGCACATCAGCTTCTGCACCATGCACAGAACCTCTGTCTCAGCCGCCTCGGATTAAACAACAGTTAAATCTGCACACCATGGTAGGCAAAGATAAAATATGAGCAACAAGTTTATTGTTTAGCATGATGTAGGACACCCAGCCATTATGTCTCATCAGGTGGTGTGCAAGATGCACACATCATCAACACATGCAGCCATCGGATGGTTTCATTCGTTGGCACGGCCTGTAACTTGAGCTGCACAATTCTGATTTTGGGGAACTCAGGATTAGGGATTAGTGTCTCATGTGAACGCAGGCAATCAATGAGGTTGGAGTTTTCATCTGAAGCATTAACCCCCTCCCCCAAATTCTTCAGAGATTAATAAGAAGAGGGAAAAATTAGTTTCCTAATGGATAACCACCACATTAATCCTACACAAATGTTTCAACTTGCCAAGTTGTCTGAACTCGTTCCAAGTGCGGGTCTTACCTGACCCCTCCTCCAAGCCTTTGCCATCCTGGCAGGTAGTGCACAGGGTATCGTGGAACCGGTTGCCAGGAACATTGACCTGAAGGCCCTGCTCAGAGCAGTTCTGGTGGGGCTGGCAGTCATCTTTGTTGGAATGTTTGCTGGAGAAGGTCCCCTCTGAACAAGGTCTGCACGTGGTATCTTCTTGTGGGTTGCCTAGAAAGGAGGAAGCAGGGAAGAACGTCCGGCTTTCTCTCAAATGACTCCCAGCGGCGACATGGTGCTGCTAACAAATGCATGAAGCAGCTTTCCCAAGCTGGCGCCTTGCAGACAGATTGAGACTACGACTCCCAGACTTCCTAGCCAGCACACCCTTGGAACCATGCTGGCTGAGGATTCTGGGTACTGCAGTCTCGGGTGCCAGACTGGAGAAAGCTGGTATGAATCTCTACCTGCGTTGCAACAGCTCACCCAGAGTTGGACCTTGCAAAGTGGTGGTTTGAGTCCGGGGGCTCCAAGCAGCCCAAGAGCCCCTGCCTTAGAGGTTGATGGATGAAGCTCACAGCAGCTTCCCCAGAGCGCAAGGCAGAATGAGCATCGTCAGCTGGTTTGCTTGGTTTTGCCCCTCCGTCATAATAAACCTTCTTTATACATCCCATATTATGATAAACCTAGCTTAATTATCTGGTGGTTTCTTCTTACCACGCAGAGCTTCAGCCAAACTCACTATCGATCAAGTTTTATGCCAGTTTTCCCCAACCTAGTCATCTGTTCCCAGAATTCTCAGCAATGGCCAAGTGGGCTGGGGAATTCTGGGAACTGAAACTTGCACTCAGGTTATGGAAAGACTGTCCTGAGCATTCTTGCTGTCTCTCCCTCTCTCTCATACACCACACAAGATTAGAGAAACTGCAAAGTCTGTATTTGAATCATGACAGAACAATGCTTTAACTGCAAACCTTCCAGAACATAAGTTTGTGTTCTTCTCAGCTCCACTAGCTTTCTAAAAAAAAGAAAGATCAATGAAGTTGGACAATCCTCTAACCCAGAAGGAAAACAGAAGTTCTGCTATGAATATCAGAGATCTGGCAGCCATGTAATAGAGTTCAGCCAGGGATCTCCACAGTGGGGTAGGGGGAGTGTTGTCAAAAAGTAAACATGAAGCCACAACCATGAATTAAGACCAGGCATCTGGGTCAAGCTCAGTGTTTCTCAACCTTGGCCACTTGAAGATGCATGGACGTCAACAACCAGAATTCCCCAGCCAGTATGGTTGGCTGGAGAAGTCTGGGAGTTGAAGTCCACACATCTTCAAGTGGTCAAGTTTGAGAAAGACTGGTCTAGCTGAATGGAGCTCTTTTTGGTTGTTTTTACTATCCCGTTTGGAACACCATTTGATATATTTATATGGGTTTTGTTTTTTCGTTTTTTAATCAAAATCTGATTTTGGACTTTTCTATTGGGTTTTGGGTTTTTTTTTAAATCGTAGAATCGTAGAATCATGGGGTTGGAAGGAACCTTAGGATTATTTATTGTTGATATTAATTTGTGTTGTACACTACCTAAAGTCACATTGCTTGAGTTAGATGGCCTTATAAGTGCATGACAAAATACAATACAATATTAAATAAAATAAATAAATAAAATACAATAAAATACAATAAAATAAAGGACCATTGGTTATACGTGGCTTGGAAATTTCTACTAGCAGAGTCTGCTTAAGAATGAATCTGATCCTGCCAAAATGCGGGTCTATTGGTTTTCCAGCTCTCTGGGTCACTCATCAATTGCAACCAAATTTTCTTCAAGCCTGCATTCTACCCCATGATCACATTCATCTTAACTAGGGTTGCATTACTACCCCAGGCTTCTTGCCTGCATCTCAACTTGCTGACAGCTCATAAAAGTCCACCAACTATTTGCAAAAAATCAGTTCTGCCCTGTGCCCTGCAATTGGGGGATGACAGCCCCACATTACCAACAATGCATGTTAGAAAAGGCCAGGGGTTTGACAGTACTCACAGCCACCATCTTGACTTTTTTAACCTGGTCCCATGGAGGCCCCTTGTGGTACCCAAATGGCTGCTTTGTCATCAAGAGCTGGGGAGCAAGGAGTCCGCCATTGTTTTTCTGTCTCAAAAAACCTGACGCCTGAAACAACTCGGTTTCCAGTCTCCACTTTGAGGTCTGTGAGCTACAAGGAGCTCCTGACTGAACCCTGATTTTTGGACTTTTCTATTCTTCTTCATCCCTTGTTTTAGAGACATCTCAGTGGAAGACCTCTGGAGGGCTCAAAACCTTGCAGTCTCTCTTGTGCCACTTTGGTCAGTCCTAAAAAAGACCTGACTCAGCCAGAGTCTGAAACCTACACAGGAGCTGGCTTCCTGCATGCTCAACCAGGTCTGGTAAAAACATAATGGCTGCATTTGCACAGGAACTGCAAGACTCAGAGGGATGTCAAGAAGCCAGGAGTTAGAATGCTCTATCTGTTGGCTGGCATCTAACATCACCCAGATGTTTGCAGCCTAAGCTTGGTCAGTTTTAACCCTGTTTAGGTCTTTTTAGGGTAAGGGGAGAATCTGAGCTGTTTGGTCTATTAATGACTTGACGTATTATGCAACCCAGAGAAATCGGGGCTAATTCAGTAATAAAGCATTGGGCAAACCCAACCATTCTGCCTCCTCCTCTTTCTCCCTACAGACATGCTAAATTTTGATTTAGTCTCTTTCCACACAATTAAAGACCCTATTCATTAACCTGACTTACAGGCATTGGGATCAGGCTGGTGTAAAGTCTGAATCCTGGGTCAGAGTTCTGCTACTTCATTTAGTCCAGTGTTTCTCAGTCTCAGCAACTTTAAGATATGTGTACACTGGCTGGGGAATTCTGGGAGTTGAAGTCCACACATCTTAAAGTTGCCAAGGTTGAAAAACACTGATTTAAAGAGATCCTTTAGACTTCCCATCCCATCCAAAGTTCCAAGTGATGCCGGTCTGTTCCTGATCAATCAGAGTTTATCACCCCGAGAGCAGAATTACTGAGTTCCTCCTCCTGTACGTACCTGGCTGAACCACTCCACTTCCTGCAGGGCATTTTGAGTGCTCAGTGCAAAAGAACCACTCAGAATGGTAGCCTGGCTTGCACTGGCACACCCTGTTGTGTGTCCTGTTGCATGCCACCACCTCCACTTCCATGGTATTGCAGAAAACATTGCAGTATAAGCATTTCTCAAGGTAGTTCCAATACTGGGTGTAGTACTGATCTGAACACGGCTTGCAAACGGTGGGCATGTCCTTAGTGCAGTGTTGTGCCACACGCGTCCCTGGTGGGCACTTCTCACACAACAACTTCTCGTTGGTCTTTCGATCTTTCCATTTGTAGGTGGGCTTGGAAGCATAAGTCACAGTAATCCAGAGCAAGACACTCCAAATCACACACTAGTGATGGAAAACAAGGAAGACAAGTTAGCAGAGATTCCCAGACAACTTGGCAGACAATTGTCTTCTGTAAATACAGAACCACAAACTATCTGAGGGACCAGCTATCTTGGAATGAACCTTTGCGGGCATTAAGATTGCAGGAGAGCAGTTAGTCCTCGTTTAGCTACCAGATTGAGGACTAGCAACTTGGTCATTAAACAAAGCAGTTGCTAAGTGAAACTGTGACTGTGTTTACAATCTGACTTCAGCTTCCCTTTGCTTTACAGACCTGCGAAGGTCGTCAATGCAAGGATTGGCCAAAAAGTGACTTTTTCATCACCGTTGTAACTGCAAACAGTTGCTAAACAAGGCAGTCAGTAAATGAGGACAATCTGTGTTACTGATTTCTTATTTCACTCTATTCGTCACCTTTCCACCCATCAGGCACCTTTGGTGGCCAGTGGTTCAAAAGCAAAAGATGAGCTGTTAAAATGCAGTCAGAACAACAACGGACCAAAGAGAACAGACCTGATTCCTTACTGGAACACAGTAGCACCGAATACAAATCCTTCAGCTGCAATTTACTCTCTGCAATTTACTCTCAAGAAAGGGCATCTTCCAAAAAGCCACTTAGCTTCTTAACATCTCAACTTCTCAACATCCCTGGAGGTTTTCAAGACAAGACTGGGCAGTCATTTGTCCAGAATAGTATAAGGATCCCTGCACTGGGCAGGGGGTTGGACTAGCAGACCTCCAAGGTGCCTCCCAACTTTAAACTTCTATGATCTGATCAGGCTCCTCATGAGAGGGGTGGTCCCTCAGATAGTCAGGCCCCTGAGCCTCTGAGAGCAGGATTTCTCAGCCTTGGCCACTTTAAGATGTGTGGACTTTCTTTCCATTTGTAGGTGGGCTTGGAAGCATAAGTCACAATAATCCATAAGTCACAATAATCCAGAATTCACCACCAGAATTCCCCAGCCAGCATTAATTCTGGAAGTTGAAGTCCACACATCTTAAAGTGACCAAAATTGAGAAACACCCCTTTAGAGCTTTAAATCTTAAGACCCTTGTTCTGGCTTGTGGTAGGACAACATGTCGTGGCTTTGTCCTCCTCCTCCTTTCTTTTAGATGGGTGTGATTTCACATCCTTCAGTAGGGGATAAACCGTTGCAACTGGGGTCCCCCCATTCGTTTGGCTGAGAACAAAACTTCCTGGGACAGCCAGCTTGAAGTTCCATATGAATGGACACCCCCATGCTCTGGTCAGGCACCCTGTTTCTAGTAAAAGCTTTTCTCCGCTTGCATGGAACCAGAGCCCTGAGACGCCCCAGCAATCCTTTTTCCTTTGGGCCCTCCTGATATTGCATTATCCCATTTCCTGCTCATGAGAGAGATACTCTTAAGTTCTCCCTAGTTTAAACAGAGCACCTCCAGGGGCAGAATGTTCCAAAGGGTGGGGGCTACAGCAGAGAAGGCCCACCTTCTGGACCCCACTAGTCGGAGTTCTCTTGCCGAGGGGGCCCGGAGCATGCCCTCTCTGTGTGATCGGGTGGGACGGGTTGAAATCGTGGGGGAGAAGCGGTCCCTCAGGTAGCCTGGCCCCAGGCCATGTATCACCATTTAAAGGTGATAACCAACACCTTGAATTGGACCCGGAAGCAAACCGGTACCCAGTGCAGCTCACAGAGCAATGGTGTTATATGGATCCTTCTTTGGACCCCAAAAATAGCTCGCGTGGCCGCATTCTGGACCAGCTGAAGCTTCCGGATACTCTTCAAGGGCAGCCCCATGTAGAGCGCATTGCAGTAGTCTATCTGGGAGATAACAAGGGCATGAGTGACCATTTGAAGGGCACCCCGATCCAGGAAAGGGCGTAACTGGCGCACAACCCGGAGCTGTGCAAAAGCCCTAATGCCTACCGCAGACTTAACATTAAACACTCCTGTTCATTCTCCCAGCATTGGAAAAGCCTCCTCAGTTTTATTACTGGGAACAGATTTTTCATACTCTTGAAAAGGTCACCAACCCAATTCATTCTCTGGGAATTCCAAGATGTTGGCAGCTGTATGAACTCCTCACACAGTGGGAACGTCCTCTTCTTACAATTCTGAGCAGGGAAATAAGAAACAGAAAGCAAATTATTAGTACAGCACTGTTCTTGAATGCAGGAAAACATTTTAACAGGTTGCAAGAATGTTTCCTGCTACATAAACATTTCTCAACCCGTGCTCACAGGCCAAAGACCAGCAGAAAAATTTATACAACCCACATACAAAAAATGCACCGTCATTGTACCCCATCATCAGATTACGATTCTGGCTGTAGCTGAATTCAGTTTCCCTTTTTGGAATTTATAATAAGGAGCCAAGATACCTCTCTCGCTCCTCCTTCTGGCTCACATACATCTTCTCCTTATAAACGGGATTGGGTAGCTATATTAAATCTAATAAACATAATAATAATAACAACCACATTGTAGGAGGAGCAAAAAATCAGGCATCCAGAGGCATTTTTCCAACTAACAGATTGTATTCAAAGGCAAAAGTTTTCATGAGCTGTATCCATGGAGCGGCTAGACTGATGCAGGATTTAAATTGGGATGGGGAGAGCAAAAGACAGAAGACAGGGTGCTTTTTTCCACGAGTGACCACTTTGGACTTTTACAGCACCATTGAGTGAGAGATTGCTGAATTCACACGCATCAGAAGTCTCAACAACAGGTTTTTAACCCACTACAATGGCTAATTAATAAGGGGTTTGTAACCTGTCTCCTACCTGCAGAACCACCCTGGGCTCCCCTCCCTTCCCCCCTTCCATCAGCTTAGCTGCTCCATGCATCTGATGAAGTGAGCTTCTAAAACGTTCGAGCTGGAAAAGGGGCTACCAGACTCCTTCTGGTTTTATTCAACTTCTCCATAATACTGGCCTACCTTACAGAGTTGTAAGTCATATCATTAGTATTGCCATAGTGCAAAGCAAGATAATCCGGGAACAGCTTGCATATATTTATTTAGGACATTTATTTCCCTTTTTGTTAGAAAGTAAACCTAGTTACTCTTCTCCTTCCCCTGCACTTTCTGTCCTCAAAACAACTCTTATGTAGTATCATGAACCAATGAATGAATCCGACCCCTGATTTTTTGCCACCATAGACTAATATGGCTCTCCTCCTTCAGTGGCCAAACTAGCTGAAGATTCAACAGGCAGCAGCAATTGACTGGCCTTAGGTGATGTTGAAAAAGGACCTGTCTAGTCCTTGGACGGGAGACCACCAGGCGAAACAAACCCCCCCAGGCCATGCCAACTCATTTCCATAGTGTGGCCAAGAAAATTGGCATGAAGTCACCAAGAGGCAAGTAGGTGGGCTAGCTAAGCAGGGCTGGCTCTAGCTAGTTCCTGGATGGGAGACCACGAGGATATCTCAGACTACAGGCTAAAGTGGAAAGTGGGAAAACCATCTCTGAAGCAGGGAACAGCAATGCCGCCCTGCAAACACACAAGTCACCAGCAACTGCGGCCGACTGAAGAGAACTTTGACCGAAGTCTCAGACCCCCGGAAGGCCTCGCGCTGGGGAAGGGAGGGCAGCGCCGAGAATCACCGTCCGGGGCCAGGAAGGCGCGGTCCCCTCTGGGGAGAAGCACGGGCCCTCCTAGCCTATCCAAGGCACGGGGGCTCCATTCGGGGCGTGGGGAGCTTCTCTCTAACCCGGGACACACGCTGCCTTTGAGCGCTGGGTCCGGGAGTCACGTCTCCGAAGCCGGCGGCGGCGCCCAGCTGGGCCACGAAAGGCCCGCAAGCCCCGCAGCGCATTCAACGGCGGAGCCAATCGAATGAAATGAATACAAGGGGCTTGTCAGCCGTCGCCCCCTGATCCACGCCTGCGT